CTTAATCTTAAATTATATACAACTTGTATACATTGTACAATTATAGGAATCTGTAAGGATCACCCCATAAAGTTACCCTAAACCTCATAGATTCTTTATTCACATCCATTCTCGCACGACAAACCCATATAGATGTAACCACTTCCTCATAGTAGCCAACAGAAGGATCAAGGAGGAACAAAAGCAAGTTCATGAGAAGTTTTCAAAGAAGGATCAACCGAAGTAACCAAAATGTCTTATGCGTCACACTAATAAATAATAATCTTGGTTAACTTAATGAGTTAGTGGAAACACTGCTCACCCTATGTGTTAGGATTATTTTATTTACATGCAACTGGTAACAGTTATTCAGGTCACAGATATTCATTCGAGGATAGCCACTTCTGATTCATAAAGTTTATTCTATAAAGACTCTTTTATGAATTGTTCTAGAATCCTATTATAGTCAGAACTAGATACACTCAGAACTAGGATAACCTTGTCTTTCAGCTTTCGGCTTTTATCCACTATTATAGACTTATTCCATCTCATCTTTGTATTTTTTAGCAAAGATGCCTCCTCACAGATCGAATAGACGCACTACACCGATAACTCCAACTCAAACACCACTACCTCCGCCATAATTCGATAATGCTGCTCTCCAAGCAGCGATATCCTCCGCAGTGGCAACTACTCTAGCTCACTTTGGCGAAAGTGGTACCTTCGGATCGGGTAGCGGTACCCACTTAGCCAACCCCGGAGCTACTCAAGAACACCCATGGGATTGTTCGTATAAGGACTTCTTGAACTGCAAACCCAATTCCTTTAATGGAAATGGGGGAGTCATCGCTCTTATGCGATGGTTCAAGAAAACAGATTCGGTCTTCGCAATCTGTTCATGCCCAGAAGGGAGCAAAGTGAAGTTTGCTGCTTGCACCTTCTCCGACAGAGCCCTAACATGGTGGAATAGCCATGTTAAGTCACTGACCCTATCAGTAGCTAACTTAATGGGTTGGGAAAACCTAAAAGAGATGATGCTGGAAGAATACTACCCGAGGGGCGAAGTTCAAAAGCTGGAACAAGAACTATGGGAGCTCATGATGGTCGGCTCAGATATAGTGACCTACACTAACAGGTTTAGCGACCTGGTAGCACTGTGCCCCGGGATGGTTACCCCGGAGAGCAAGAAGATAGAAAGATACATCTGGGGTCTAACTGCACTGACCCAAGGAGATGTGTTGTCTTCTAACCCAACCTCATTTGATTGTGCAAAGCACTTGGCACAGCGACTCATCGACCATGGAGCCCGCCATGGTGTAGAAGTCCTCGTTCCCGAGCCATCAAAGGGAAAGGAATATAATCAGAAGTCGGGGAACAAGAAGAAAAAGAAGCGAACAACACAGGAACCCCCACAAGAGCAACAAACAAGTACTATGTACGCCGCTACAATGCCTGCTGCTCCAGCACCTGCCAGTCGATATGTTGGAACCCTTCCGAAATGTGGAAAGTGAAACTACCACCACACCGGAGTATGTCAAGAAATGCAGTGTCTGAACTGCCACAGAAAGGGACATAGTCCGTTTCTACAGGGCACCGGCTCAACTGATCTCCCAAGTCCCCAGAGTTGAAGAAAACCAAGCCTGCTATGGATGTGGTGAAACTGGACACTACCAGAGTGACTGCCCGATAACAAAGAGCTCAGGCAACGGACATATTCTGATGATCACTGCAGGAGAATCAACCCCGGATTCGCCTTCGAGCAGCAGTACATTTTCGAAATAGTAATTATTTTTAAAAATTAATTTATATTTATATATAAGATTAAAACTTGGAGAAAACACTTAAAAGTAATTATAATAACTCACTTATTGAAACAAATCAAAGGATTTAAGAGAACTAAAAGATTCGTTTTGAGAAGCTATGATGGCTTAGCATATACATCAGGGTTGTGCATAGCTAAGGTGTTCTAGACTGAGAGTGAGTGATTCTTCCCTAATTCTTGTTCCATGTTTGGTACACTTTCTTCTTCGAAACCAATCTACAACTTCTCCGTCATCCTTCATGTTCATAAATGTAACTCTTGAGACTCTCAACAATTATCACTGAGTTTTATGGTTACAAAACATCTGTGTTAGTGATCTTAAAAATCATTGTAACCATGATTTAACTGAAACCCAAAATCTGAAACCCATTTCTGAATTGATGGTGAACAATTAAATGTTCAAGAACTTTCACCAATGAAATGATGATTACAACCTTTTCGGTTTATACCACAAAACGTATGAAATCTCTTTTTTTTTTTTTTGAGTGATCTTAATGAAATGCTCTTGACCTAAGACATTTCTTTCGAACAAGATTCAGTTTTTATTTTTTCTGAGATTTTCATCATATCTAGTCACTAAAATTATATCCAAACCTTATTTGTTATTATGACTACACTAGTCAAACAAGTACTTCTTCTAGATCTCCGGACTTATGTTGAGTTTCAGAATTTGGTTGAAGCTTAAGCCACCCTTGAAGCTTAATTAAAAGAATCCTTCCACTATTTCTTAATAAATAAGTGATCATAATTCAACGGGAAACCATACAAGCACTTTCGAGTCTCTCTTGACTCAAAAGGAAGAGATCGTCGCCCGACTTTCATCTGCTTTCATGTCAGTTATATTTTGACATCAAAAAATCCCAAAATTTTGATTTGTTTTATTTCTTTTTCTTTGGCACACTTTTTCACAAAAATCTTTATGATTTTTCCCATTATGGTTCTAATTCCGATTGATTATCTTTAATTTAGAGAACAAGTCGTCTTTGTTTGCTTGACGATTACGAATGAATTGACACTAAAAAGGCGGTTTATTGGAGATAAGGATTCAAAATTAGGCGCGTTGTTTTAAAATTTCTGACATCACGCACGTTAGCTTCATGCCGTCTGACACATGATGACCTGTTACGCTTTCCCAGACTACTTTTCTGGGATATGGGAACATCAAGCGTCGATTTTATCTCACCACTCATGACATATATAAGGGTTTTTGATGGTTGGTTTTCTCTTACCGCTCACACAATTATCAAAACCCTCCAAGGCAAAAAACCTTTTCCCTATTTGCTGTTCATCATCTTCCTTGGTGCTTCAACAACCGGATCATCTGAAATCACTTCCTTCGCCGATCTATCAACATCCGTGATAATGATGAGCGTCAAGCCTTGTTAGAATCTCACTCTCGATCTCGACACATCTCGATACAATGAAACCATAAGACCCATGATTGAGTGTCTAAGGTACTCGCCACTGGCTCAAGCCGTAACCATGGCGGACAATGTTCCTTTGGTCCATCTCTCTAAGGCATATTCGTCTGCTACCTACAGTCGACAGGATGGAGTCATTCACTTTGAGGTAGCTTCTCACAAGACCTTGATTTCTAAATCACATTTCTGTAGAATTTTAGGGCTTGGTACAACTGAAGGACTCATGGACCCAAAATCAATTTCCACTTCTGCACTTATCAAGATGTTTTTCCAGATGGGTTACAATGGGGATTTGTCCTTATTCTCAAAGTTCAGGAAGACGTTCATACCTCTCATGTCGAATGCTTTAATTACTCTTCTGCTCAAGGGTTTCTCTGAAAGAGTTGCAGGTTTTGACAGCGCAAGTAGGCTATTCTACATAATTATCTATGGCCTCTGCCATGGAGTAAATCTTGACTTTGGTTCTATTCTATGGAACCAACTAATTTAGAGCACGGTTTCATCCACACGCCACATAGAGATCTCATGTGCTTGTTTTTGGTATGTTATTGTCAAACATGTTCTTGATCGCTACCAGATCCCATTGTTGGAAGATTCGGTGATTGCTAATATTCTGATTCTGCAAACTTCTTCATTTATGATGTCCGATCCAACAAAATTCAACTTTGTTGGTTCTAATCCTGACGTGATTTTGGAACGAGTTCCTCAAGATAATGCGATTGTGACTAAATATTGCAAACAATCCTCATCTGGTGTTCGCCCCTTAATAGAGGAATTCCGATAGATACTTGAAGAAGTTAACAAAACAAAGAGGGGAGGAAAGCAAAAAAGCGAAAGCTGCCACTTCTAAAGTTATTAAAATTCCGAAGAAGATCAAGAAGCCAGCTCGTAAACCAAGGTCACTTTCTCCAGCAGGTCAGGATGCTTCGGAATCTAGGACTCACACTGATATTCAAGAGGATCCAGTTCAGAGTGAAGTAGAAGACATTGATTCCTCTTCGGAACCTCCTACAACCGCTCCCATTCCGAAGGTATCCATTCCACCCACTTCTTCTACTCCTTTTTCTGATTTCTTTCAGCCCAACTCTCCACCATCCTCTCTGATAACTACGATTCTGATCACCATCACTCCTATACCACCACAGTTTTTTGTTGGAGTTTCTCTTACATATATCTTTGTTCCTTTCTCCACTCCATTCTTTATAGATTCCACTGTTACTACAACATCTGTTGTTAGTACATCTGAAGTCATTGTCAATGTATCTGATACGGGGGCAGGTATCACTTTTGGTGTTACTATGGGTCAAGGCACATCAACAGCTTCACCATTCCGAGCAGATGATCTCGACATAATTTTTGGTGATGATCAAGATGTCTTTCCGGATTTTGCTTTCAGTCACTTCACTGTCCATCAAACAAGTGATGATGGCGACGCCCCGATGACCAAAGGTCAATTTGAAAAACTGAATGAAAAGTTAGATTCTATTCTTGAGTCTTCAAAATCATCATCCAACTATGAGTATATGCTCAAGTCTCATCAAGCCACTGTTGAAACAATAACGAAGGAGAATGCCAAAGTTCTTGCTGAATCAACAAAGTTTATTCAAGCATCAGAGAAAACCATTACAAAGATGACCGAAAAAGTCGAAAAACTACATGATGATGTAACAAAGTTCATGGCTAACTTTTGAAGGTCTTCAGATGAAAATATCGAATCGGTCAATAAAGTTATTGCAGGTCTTGGCTTTACTCTGCAAGTGAGAAGGAATCTCTTTCTCATGTCTGATTTGAACTCAAGGTTGCTAATGATGAACTCATTGCTTCTGTTGTGTCCAAGATTGAGCATATTTAGAAAGACCTTGCAGTTGAGAACATCCTTGTGGATAAATTGGCTCAGAAGACTGAGAAATTAAAGACTCTATCGGTCAAACTGCAGTACACCAACAAGCATCTTGCTAACTTGGAGTGTGAGAAGGTTGTGATTAAAAGCTGCATTTCAGAAATTAACCAATATTTGCGAAGCCAGGTTAAGACTCGTGATTCACTACTCATAGTTTCGGTATGACAGCATCTTGCAGACAAACTCAAACTAGTGTTTTCGATGCTTAATCGAATTGAGGGTGTTTCTGAATCTAATGTTCTTCCGAAACAAGGGGAGATGTGAAAGAACAACCCAAGAAAAAGATTGTTGAACCTACTAACAAAACCAAACCGAAACCGAAAGATCAAAAGGATAATGAAGCTTCTACATCTAAACGAAAAGAAGAAGTGATTGATGATGAAGAAGAAGAGGAAGAGTTTTCTGAGGGTGAAAAGGTTATCAAGAAGAAGCGTGATTCTAAACTTGATGATCTTTTGAGAATTCGTAAACAATTGAAAGATCAAGAAATGGAAGCTAAAGTTGCAAAAGTCACCTTGGAAACTCAAAAGTCACTCTTTCTTCAGTGGACTCTAAAGAGGATTCAGAAGGAGGCGGTTGATGAACCGAGCACCAATTGGTTGGAGCCTTAGGTATCGTTTGAGCTAGACAACACTGTAGAGTCTCAACTCAACTTTCCAATCACTCCTAGGGTATTTCTATTCAGATGCTTTGAGAAGATTAAGAGAGCTCCACTTTTTTATTGTAATGCTAATCATACACACTTCTCTTTCTATCTCAAGTATGGAAAGCCTCAATTCCAAATTTGGAGTTTACAGAAGATCGTTAAAGTGAAGGTTTATGCTCCTATTCCAACTGAAAGCTTCATCAATATCAAATTCAAAGGATTCAGATGAGGCAATCAAACTAAAGTTGAATTTACACTTGTTGATTTACCATGTGTGAATCCTTATGATTGGATTTCCTTCTTCATGAATTTGTCCAAAGACGAACAAAAGTACAAGTCGATCGTAGCTCATCTGAAGAGAATGCTTATATGCTACATTCAAGAGTTTGCAAAGATGGATGTGAAAATATCAGATGTGCTAAAAAGGAAGCCAATTCTGAAACCTGTGTAGGAATTGAAGGATCTAAATAAAATGAAGCTAGGAAAAATCCGAAAGGACAACTGGAATGTGGTATACCAAAGAAAGATTGATCAAAAAGTTCAGAGGTGTATGTTCTTCTTGCTAGACAAAAACATACACTCAACTTCTACCATGAACTACATCATGGATCTGACTGAAGCCTGCAAAGAAAATGATGTTGCTAATCAGAAATGCTTCTTGGATATGATCAAGTGGTACATTGTTATCCGAAACACCCTTTTGAATTTAATACCGGAATTATTCAAGGTGCAGAAAAGACAACAACAATAGAAGAACTCCTTCCTTATTTGACACAAAGGGGGAGATTGTTGGGCTTATTTGTATTATGTTAAATGTATTTTGTATAAATGTATAGGTTTTTATATCTTAAGATGGTCATGTCCATTCTCGTGTTTATGCTTATTTTCTAGCCTATAAATATTGCATGCATGTATCTATTAGGGTTAACGCTTTGTCACCCTACCTAGATCTTACAGAAAAGTTCTCATCGAACACTTCTAGGGTTATTATAATTAAATCATTCGACACTCTTTTCGATCATTGTTCTTGTCATTTATTTCACATTATTTACTATAGAATCTACCGATCTTAGTTTTATTGTTTTACAAATAGACCATGTACGGTCTTAGACCAACGCATGAGTTGAAATATTCTCAGGGGTGAAATTAACCCAACACGACCTTGAGCTAGCAGATAGTTATGGTATGCAGTATTTTGGGAAACTCACTAAGCTTCGTGCTTACTGTTTTCAGTTTATGTTTCTCGTACTTCCAAATCGAAGGGGAAGAGCTCAGGATGATCACATCGCACGCACCATAATTTCCATTTGATTTGAATCTGATGTATTGAAATGATAGATTGACACACCATGATTTTCCTTTGTGATTTTATGAACATGTTTTGGTTGATAGTTTTATTATTATGAAAAAGAAATTTTTGGTTTTAAATTTTGGGACGTTACAATTTACAATCAGATTCATGTAAATTTCATGACCTCTTTACAGTCTTGAACTTTCGTTCTTTCTTACGATTTAAAGTTATGCAGTACTTCAATTACTCCGCTAAATTATTGTTCAATCTCAAAGTTTCTTCCTATTATTAATCAATTATTTTAAATAAATTATTAATTAACAGATATTTGTTTAGTTTTATAAATTATAATCGTTGACTTAAATAAATACATGACCTTATAATCTGTATTAATTTTATTTTAAATTTTTATTCTAATTTTATTAATTTAATATAATTAGA